CGCGTTTATATAAGTATTCGAACGTACTTTTTTCCAATATAAACATGCACATGATACAAGTAATTTACAATAGTGTAAGATGAATATACACAAGAAAACACTTAGAAATATATATATATATATATATATATATATATATATATATATATATATATATAGAGAGAGAGAGAGAGAGAGAGAGGGAGAGAGAGAGAGAGAGAAGCAAATAGGTAAAAAGATAGGTAGAGAGAAAGGTTTGTGCATATTTATAAATGTTGTATTCGTCCGAATAAAAAAGTACACACATTCAAGCGCATATATCTCTCAAGTATGCATATATTCAAATATATATATATATATATATATATATGTGTGTGTGTGTGTGTGTGTGTGTGTGTGTGTGTGTGTGTGTGTGTGTGTGTGTGTGTGTGTTGAAGTATGTGGGATTTTTTTAAAATAAGATTTCTTGAATATTCATTCCGGTAAATGAGAGTAAGTAAATATTCTGTTCAATAAATAAACGGACCCTCTACACAAATATAAGTATTGACAATAAATAATGTTCAAATGATAAAAATCTGGCGGATTGATAAATAAAAAAAATCATTTTTCATTAATATATATATATTTATATATATATATATATATATATGTGTGTGTGTGTGTATACATATATAATTGTCTATGTATGTCTGTGTACGTATATATATATTTGCGCAGCTTTATTAAATTCTAATTACGGGGTCTGTTCCTTTAATTTTTTGTTTAATTTGAGGATTCTTTCATTTTTCCTATTTTCGATTTGATAACAATTACACAGAAACAAACGTTCTTGTTTTTGTTCTGATTTTGACCGTTTACTTTAGTCTATCTTAGCCATTATCAAGTCAGTACACACGCACATACACGCGCACATACACCCCCGTATATATATATATATATATATATATATATATATATATATATGCGTCTGTGAGAGAAAGGGTGTGCGAAAATTTCATCTTCATTTGTTATAATATTCGGCAAAATACTCGGTCGTATGAACGCTGTCTTTCCCTCTCACGCACACACGTGTGTTTTATATATATATATATATATATATATATATATATATATATATTTACTGCTTAAAAACTTGCCTACCGAACGCTCCTTTGTGGCCGAGACGGTAAGGCACGTCAGCATATATATATATATATATATATATATATATATATGTGTGTGTGTGTGTGTGTGTGTGTGTGTGTGTGTGTGGTGCGGGTGTAATTATATTAGAATTCTTCAAGCACGTCCGTCGGTTATTAACGGTTAGCGATTTAGTGGAGTTGACAGTTACTAATTCGGTCCTAATCGTGGACAGGGTGAGCAGCGGGTAAACTTCCTAACAAGCTTATGGAAATGAATAGCCCAACAGGGTGCTGGATAAGTAGATGAAAAACAGGCATTTCTAAAGATCTACAAAGTAAAAGATGTTGTGGAGAGCCATAATCGCTGAAGTATACGGAGAAGAAGAGGAACAATAATTGACATATCGCAAATCAGCCAACCAACTTTCGTTTTGATCTCTCAACTTTCGTGTGCTTTTCATTTTGTTTTAATAGTCTGTTAAAATAAATAATAGTATTTTATAATTTAAGAATATGTAAAGAAGGCTAGAAGTGCAGAAGAGTTGTGTTAACATATTTTGGAATTCCCTCCCACCATATATATATATATATATATATATATATATATATATATAATAAAAAGGCTTAAACACTAATATTCCATGGTCATAATTTAATACGATCCAAATCATCAGACCTACAAATTCAAAATGAAAACAGAAAAAAACAACTCCCGAAATCAAAACAGAATTTAGAGAAAGTGTAAGTATGAGGAGGGTGACATGAAACCTTAACAGAGAATTTTTTTGGAGATGTGGGTGGGGTGGATTTAAAAGAGGAGGAGAAAGAAAGTCGACGGATGTCTAATACATAAAGATACATTTCGTGGTGACATATACACACCACAGACAATTCGGATAGGAAGGGAAAAAAAAAAAAAAAAATTGTAGGTCTGATGATTTGGATCGTATTTACGATTCCAATGGAATAAATTATGACCATGGAATATTAGTGTTTAAGCCTTTTTATTATATCCTTACTCTGTCCTAGACATTGAGTTCTACCTGGATCCTTCCTCTTGGAAAATTTTTTTCTGAAAATATACATGTATGGGAATTTTTTAGATATATTTTTCATATGTATGTATATTTTCCACTAATATTATCTATATATATATATATATATATATATATATATATATATATATATATATATATATATATATATATATTGTATGCTTCAAAATATCTGTATTGTTAAAAAATATTTGTAGGCGTAGAGCATTTTCAGTTCATGTGTTAGCCATTTAAAGGGATTATCTTTGTTATACGGCTATAATAAATGCTAAGTTGTATTGGAGACATCATAGAAGTTGCTCAAAGTTGACATACGAAATTGTCGAGATATGGATGGGG